GGCGTGTGGCACCGCTATCAAGTCAGTACGCATATCCATGAGTGTGTCGACCCCTGTTCCAAAGGGTGCGACCTTCCTTCAAGACAAGCAGGGGGATCAGGGACGTTTGGCTTGGCCTGATCCAACGAGCTCCAGCCATTCGTCAGGATATTCTCGAGGGACGCCTTGAGAACGTACCTGCTTCGAACACATTGACACCAATGGTCCACCCTGCCGCTGTTCGTTGTTTTCATGGTCTTTCTTCATGCTACTGCCCCTCAAACCATTTTCTTTCAGCCACTTTCAGCATCCGCGCGTTTGCAGCCTGTTACCGCAGTTGTGCAACTACACTGACTGTCAGAGTGCAAACATTGTTCAACCATACTTTTCCTGCTGACTCATGCGCCTTTCCGTTCCCTCACCTTCCTTCTCATCGTGGGAATTGAGTAAACAGCAAACCAATGTCAGAGTGTGAGCCGCTCAGTCGTCCCACTTGGGTGCTGGGTGTGATCCCCTTCACTGGGGCGCTGAAGCCATTCGGGAAATCATCGTTTCCATTTTTGATAACTGATTCCACCTTCTCCACTTGCATAATTGAATTAACTGATCCAACAGCCGTCGGGCTTAAAAACGAATTTGACAGCCGCCGCGCTCAAAAACGGCATTCACCCCACTTGAGGCAGGTCTCCCAACCCCCCCCCACTGTGTTCTACTCCCTACCTAATTAGGGTAACATAGGGAAATGGTACTCGACACACTTGTGTGTCGCCTTTCCCTCTGTTGTCCCTTTTCTAGTCTACTCTACCCGGGCGGTGTAAGACAAAAGTCCCGCTCCCTAACTAGTGCACCTAATTCACTTCGTCTAAGTATTCAGTAATTCTAGAGTGCTAGGTATTCAGACACACACACACGTACACGCACATGGACATACAACCCCTCCCTGCCCCCCCTTTTCCTTCTTGCGCTTTTCGTCGTTTGTTGGGCTTTCCCTCAGGCTTTTTAGGTGGCTCTTGAGGCTCGTTTCCCTACCCCAGTCAAGGGCTAAGTATTCATTTTTTCATTTTTTCTACTCCTATCGTTCTCTCTTGCCCTCTTAGCCCTCTTAGCGCTGCTCTCTCTGTCTTTCTTTCCTTTGTTTCTAAGGCTTTTTAGGTATCTATTCAGGTTTCTCACGCGAGCGCCGCCAAGCGGCGCCGTGTGTGTGTCAACCCCTGTTCCAAAGGGTGCGACCTTCCTTCAAGACAAGCAGGGGGATCAGGGACGTTTGGCTTGGCCTGATCCAACGAGCTCCAGCCATTCGTCAGGATATTCTCGAGGGACGCCTTGAGAACGTACCTGCTTCGAACACATTGACACCAATGGTCCACCCTGCCGCTGTTCGTTGTTTTCATGGTCTTTCTTCATGCTACTGCCCCTCAAACCATTTTCTTTCAGCCACTTTCAGCATCCGCGCGTTTGCAGCCTGTTACCGCAGTTGTGCAACTACACTGACTGTCAGAGTGCAAACATGGTTCAACCATACTTTTCCTGCTGACTCATGCGCCTTTCCGTTCCCTCACCTTCCTTCTCATCGTGGGAATTGAGTAAACAGCAAACCAATGTCAGAGTGTGTGTCACACTCTGTTTCCAAGAGTTTTTACGCGCAGGGGGCCGGAGCCAGGTGGGGGGTCTCCGGCCAACGAAGACACCCCCCACCTGGGTGCAAACGTACCTGCGATCAACTGTTGTCCAAGCTGTTCTACTCTCTTTTTTGCTTTCATGGTGGTTTTCATGATACGTTCCCCAAACCAGGTTTCCATGCACGGCGTTAATTCGGTCTGCTAAGTAATCAGTAACTAATTTTCTGCAGTCATGCATCACGAGAAACACTTTTTTCAAACACCTTCAAGTGATCGGACGCTTCACCTTGCCGTTGAGCCATTCCTTTTCTCGGGGAATTGAGTTAACTGAAAGCCTAATGTCAAAGTGTGTGCCGCTCTGCCGTCCCACTTGGGTGCAGGGTGTGATCCCCGTCACTGGGGCGCTGTTTTCATGCCGGAGTATCGCTAACGGACTTTGCTGCTTTCCGCACACGTTGGATTATCTTCACCGACTTCGTTTCACCACTGTATTCCCAAAATCCAAGCCGCCGGGCACCACGGTTTTTACAACCGCCGGGTATACGGAATGTGAAAGCCGCCGGGCATACAGAGAATGACCCCACACAACCCCCCCCCTTTCCGCCGAGTTCTCTACTCCCCACCTAATTAGGGTAACAGAGGGAAATGGTACTCGACACACTTGTGTGTCGGTGCCTTTCCCTTTGTTGTCCCTGTTCTCGTCTACTCTACCCGGGCGGTTTAAGACTAAAGTCCCGCTCCCTAACTATTGCACCTAATTAGTTTCTGCTAAGTAATCGGTAACTCTAGAGTGCTAAGTATTCAGACACACACACTTGTACACACACATGGACATACACCCCCTCCCTGCCCCCCGCTTTCTTTCTTGCGTTTTTCGTCGTTTCTTGGGCTTTCTTTCAGGCTTTTTGGGTGGTTCTTGAGGCTCGTTTCCCTGCCCCAGTCAAGGGCTAAGTATTCACCTTTTGCTACACCTATCTTTCTCTCCTGCCCTTTTAGCGCTGCTCTTTCTGTTTTTCTTTCTTTCTTTTCTAAGGCTTTTTAGGTGCCTATTTAGGTTTTTGCGCCAGAGCGCCGCAAAGCGGCTGAGTGTGTGTGTGTCACACTCTGTTTCCAAGAGTTTTTACACGCAGGGGGCCGGAGCCAGGTGGGGGGTCTCCGGCCAACGAAGACACCCCCCACCTGGGTGCAAACGTACCTGCGATCAACTGTTGTCCAAGCTGTTCTACTCTCTTTTTTGCTTTCATGGTGGTTTTCATGATACGTTCCCCAAACCAGGTTTCCATGCACGGCGTTAATTCGGTCTGCTAAGTAATCAGTAACTAATTTTCTGCAGTCATGCATCACGAGAAACACTTTTTTCAAACACCTTCAAGTGATCGGACGCTTCACCTTGCCGTTGAGCCATTCCTTTTCTCGGGGGATTGAGTTAACTGAAAACCCAATGTCAAAGTGTGTCTCAGCGTCAGCTGTCAAGGGGGAGCTGCCAGCTGTGTTTGGTGAGGGTATGTGGATGTGAAGCTTTGAAGCACAACAAGGAACTTCACGTGTTTGAAAGAGCAACGTCCAGATCAGTGTGCACCATGATCACGCCCTTGGTCAACCAGTCTGTGGGTGATTTCTCCGTCCCAAGGCCGTGATGTCTCGGGCCAACGAAGCTCTCGCGAGGGTCGAGAAGGTCAAAGAGAAACACGAAGTGCCAGAGGGCTTGCACGAGAGCAGTCCAAGGCAGGGCGAGTCAGCTGTTGAACGAGTCAACAGATGAGCAAAGCAACAAACAACTTTACCGGAGCGTGAACGGTGGAATTGATAGCGCAAATAACGTACACAACATTATAATCCAGAATAGAGGCTTTTGCGGACAGTTTTCTTTTTGGAGGCCTAGCTACTTACTCTCGTAGGAGTTGATAATGCCTTGTCCGAACGCTAATAAACAAAGGTGCTCCAAAGACCCCTTCTGACTTGAAAAGACATTCACGCACGCGCAGCCCGTTCTCATAAGAAACACGTCGAGCGGTCTCACATGCCAATCATGAGGGTTGAGGATTGATCAGGCATGGTTTGACTTCATTTTTTCCATATTGGATTCACATACCTTTGGGCACCAGAACGCGCAACCTTTCAGGTTTCGCAGGGAATTCATGAGAGGTGCTTCAGCTACCTGAGTTCCCCTTGCTTGAGCAAAAGTGTATGACAATCTGGAGTTGGGATTGTGCATTGAGTTTGGCCCTGTAAGCAAAGGATTCTTCTTCACAGGGGTGGGGGGCCCCCACTGGATCAAATCCCCCCTGCCCCGTCGCGGTTTGGGTGCAAATCTTGAGATGTTTGGACAATTCTTGAGGCATGTTTCTTTGCATAGTGTGCCCTACTAAAACTTGAATTCGAACTGGAATTTGAACTCGAACTGGAACAGTTAGAACTCAACCCTGGAAGGCCTCGAACTCCAATTCGAACTCGAACCCGAATTCGAGCTGAAGCAGTTAGAACTCAACCCTGGAACTATAGTAGGTGAGCGATGTTCCGGGTATTCGTTTTTTCTCTTAGGTCTTCACTTCTAATTTAGGGCTTCTTTGGCTTTGAAATGGTGTAGGGCTTCCCTACTTTGGGCTTGTCTTGCTTGGGCTTCATAGCTTTGGGGTTTCTCCGGGCTTGTCTTGCCGGGGTTTCGCGGGGCTTGCGGGTCTCACTCCGTTTTTTTTAGTGTTTCTTGAGGCTTGGCTTCGCGCTTCACTTCTTTGGCGTTTCTTTGGCTTGTGGGCTTAGGGCTTCACTTCTTCGGGGTTTCTTTTGACGGGGCTGTTAGGGCTTCATGTCTTTAGTCTTTATATACATGTCTTTACCGTGTCTTTTGGTTTGGCATCCGAACTTGGCTATTTTAGGTTTTTTAGGGTTCGGCTGGTAGGCTCAGGGTTTCTGTGGGTTTGGTTTAGGGCTTCACTTCTTTAGTCTTAGGGTTTCTTTGGCTTTGGCTTGCGAACTTCACTACT